TTAAAATTAAGATTTTAATGCTGTTTTCTCCATAAAGGAAACAGATTTTATTTTCTAGTGATCCTTAGTGTCTATTCCTTTTCTTGTAATGATATGTGATAGTCTCTGGTAACTGATAGCTTATGTCCTGCCTCTGATTTCTAGCCTTTCTGACTGTTGTTGATTTTGGAGTTGGGGTCAGGAGGGTGTCAGGCGTAGCTCAAGTCCTGGAAAAAGGAGAGGCCCTGGCTAATGCTGCAAGCTACCATATTAACACCTTCTCAGTTGTATAGGCTTCCCTGTGTATTTTTGTCTGCCTTGTAAATTAGGAGTTCCTTGGGGTAGGAAAGCTATGTCCATCCATCTGTTTATGCAAGCATTCTTGTTAGTATTTTAACACTCAGGCACTCAAATGCTGCCTGATCCCTATCTGTCCCCCATTTGGAGTGAAACTGAGAGGCCTTGGATGGGGACACATGCTCTTCTCAAGGTGGTGCAGCAGCTGCACTTTGTACACTGCCTCCCAGAGCTCCTGCTAAGTAGTAGTTGCTCTGAACCCAGTGCAGACTCATTTTTTAGGGCACAGCTGTCACTGTTGTACTATATATTCACCCAGTGTACCCAGACCTATTCACAACAGAGCGTAGTAAGAATTCTCCATAGTGCATTGAAAGCAACATGTGATACTTCTAGCCTGCCCACTTGCCTTAAGCTGGGGATATTGGAAGTCAGATTTCTGCCTTGAAGGAAATTTGTGAGGGCTGAAAATTCAGATCTCTGAAGCAGCAAGTGCTCATCTGCTTTTCTGAGAGGTGAAAGATGCTTGGCTTTTCAAGATGAAGTCCGTGCTTAGGCTTGAGGCGCTAAAGAAACACTATTAAAATTAAATCTGTCAATGGTACCCTGGCTTGGATTTTGTAAATCAATTGACAGAAATAGCTATACCTGAATTTCTGGTGAGCATCTCAGTGTAGCCTTAAATAAAGGCATTTGCAATACGTAGGATCTGAAAGGTATGTTGTAATCCAGAACAAATGAGTCAAGGCTATTACAAAGGTTTTTTGAAATAGTTCTATCTATATCTTACCCAGAGATGTTTTAAGAAAAAAGCATTGGTGGTCAAATTGGAGAAAATGCGTATTTGGGCTAGGCAGAACTATATTTCTCTACTTTTGTTACTTCTGTTAATAGAAGAGAGGCTGAGATGAGAGTAAACTAGAACTTACTGTGTAGACAGATCTGGGTTTGCAGTCTAATTCCAAGGGTCAATTAACATTCACTCTTCATTTAAAAATATTTTTTAAAACCTTTTTAAATAGAAACTAATCCCCAAAGATTTCATAAAGACACAGTGAGATCTTCTCTGTTTGTGATTATATTTAGTAAAATTTTAGTGGATCAGAGATGAATTTTCAAAGGAAAATAGCAACAGATAAACACTTTGCATTCCATTCCTTTCTGCTGGATCTTTAAAAATGGGAACAAGATAGTCTTGAATGTGCCTTGACACTCCAGATCTGGCTGCCCTATATCTCCATCTGTACACTGGTATTTTGTCCCCACCAATTACTGACTGTTCTCAATGTCTACTGTAAATGCATGCTGTGTATGTTCACTTGAAAGTCTCACAGAGAAGCCTGTTATCTCCTAACTAAAATAGGTGGAATTTTGTACTTTGATTTATATGGATTATACATCCAGACTTCGATAATACCTTCTATATAAAGCTCTACAGAACCAAATAATCTACATAGCATGCTCTTAGCCACTCAGAAGACTGGGGGAAGAAGTAGTTCTTTCCTGATTCTTATTATGCTTCTGAATTACAGGTACAATAAACTAGATCCATCTTTCATACTTGTGAGTCTTGCTGTCTATGGAGCTAGGATAAGCTGAATTTTAGAGGTAAAGTGACATCAGTGGAGTGCTGGCTCCTGAAATGGGAATTGGAAAAGTAGAGCTGTGTGAAGGAATCCAGCCCAGAATTTGTTACCATTATACTTAGCTGAAGAGATGAATGCAATTCCTTTCAATTTCCTTTTCAAATAAAGGAACACTGACTGGTAAGCTATGGTTGAGACCATTTCCTTATCTTTCACAGTATAGTTCTCCTGTAGCTCTTTGCCTCAGAAAGGGTGTTGCAATGGCGATAGTTAGAAATACATATAAATTACTAATTCAAAGTTACCCGGGATTTTTTCATTGTTAGATTCTTCTGATAAATATATTTTTGTTTAGGTAGTATTTTCTAAAAGTGTTAGGCAGAAAATACCCCACTAGAAAGGGAAATCAGGTCACTTGTTATAACCATCCCCTCCCTCTAAATTTGACTCTAATTCTAGGACAGTTGTATTTACCCGATGTATCTTTATTTTAAGATACAACATTTAAATTTGGGGCTACCAAAAGCAGAAATAAGAGAAGCTGAGAGGGAAATGAGTATGTTACAGCATCTTAAACTAGATCCCAGATCTAGACTTCTTTATACTTTCTGTGGAAACTCTGCTTTTCCAGGCTTATTTTGTTTGAAGCATCACTGGGGAGTGGAAAGAGAGATGTATGTGTTAAATAGGAATTCCCAAATTAGGGCAGAAATTTAACTTTCAGTAACCAGGTTGATGTTCAAAAACTAGTCTTTGTTCTTGATGAGCAAAAAGGGAGTTCCCAGCACTGGGAACCAACTGACTGGAGGTATCAGCATCACACAGTTAACGTCTTGGGGCAAGAAATGGCATGTTTTGCAAGGAGGTAGAAAGTGGTGTCTTAGAAAAGGGATGCGTGAAGATGATTTATTACAAAATCTTTATGAAGAAGGCTCAAGCCTTGGTGAATGACTTGACTGGCAAACAGTTTTTGTTAATAGAGAAAAAGGATAAATTGAGAAAGACTTGAAGTGTCCTACTTGATGAATTCAAGTCTTACGGACTGTTCTATCTGAGTTTGGATTTTTTCACATTTTGCCTTTTCCTGACTTCTTATTTTATTGCAGATTTTGTTGCTTGACATATTTGGGGGACTGAGCAGGGAAGGGTCTTTCAGTAACCATATAAGTACATGCGGGTATGCAAATAATCCGTATTCTTTATAGACTTCTGCATTCTGTGTGCTTTGCACAGTGCAAGTCAATGAAATGCATGGCAGCTAATGTTTGTATAATAGGTTAGGAAAACTATGCTTGTAATATGAATCTCTTGTTTCCACTAATCTCTTTCTATGAGGGTGCATTAAGCTAGAGAATAAAACTCCATCACTGAAACTACCATGAAGTATTTCTCCCAATCCTCAGTTCCTTAACAACAGAAAAATCCATCAGGGAATGGCCCTGCCGATATCAGTCAACTCTACTTTGCATGAGAACATTGTATCTCTGCCTGCCCTTCACTCCGAAAACAGAACTCTTATTGATTTTCTCTCTAATGAAAAGGTATAGAAAGCAGTCTCTTCCAGTCAGATCAGTTCTGGGATGTTATTTAAGTGCCTAATTCTAAAGTAATCTCTGTTTTTAGTGTCTGAATATTTCCAGTACCCTGTTCTAACGCCCTGATACTGGAGCTTGTGTTCTAGTAAATTGACAACTCCCATTGCCAGACTAAGTTGCCAATTAATCTGGAGTCTCAATACTAAACGCCTTTAAGGGAGTGTTAAGAAAGGTTGTTGTTTTTTTCTTTTTTTCCTCTTTGTCTTTACCAGTCTTTGTCTTACACAAACAAGCAGTCCAGGGAGTTGTTTTAGAAGGGCTTTTTTGTTTTGAAGTGTTTTGAGATCATATTAGGGAAGGCAGGTTAAGGAATTTCACTTCACACTTGATGAGGAAAGATGTTTGGATTTGGGTTGGCCTTTGGTTTCCTTTGGTTTCCTTAGTTCCACAGTGTCAGCCTGGCTGAATTCAGAGGGGAGTTCTTGGCTCATAATTAGACACATCTTTCTTTTATGTTCACAGTGCTGAAGGAACAAGGTTTTTGACAGCAGCCTGTCTTGTACTATTTTGGATTATCCTTGGGGTTTTTCAGAAGTGAAAAATTTAAGGGAGTACCTAAAAATAAGAGCAAAGACCTATAGCTTATTTCCATACCTTTTAATTACCGAGTGCTCAAAGCAGAGGACAACTCTGATGTGCTCGCTACAATTTGTCTGCCTGATGGTATATGAAAGTTCTTCTGTTTTAGTTGGAATTCCCTAATGGAGGCAAGTTTCATAAGGAGCTGTACTGTTTCAATGTCATCTGGATGCAAGCTGAGAGGACTGTGTGAAATTGAGGTCAGGATACCTTCCATTTGGAGAAGATGCAGTTCACGGGGCATCTGGAGCTAACAAAGTGTGATGCCATAGTGAACCACCAGAATTTCTGAGCTGTTGTCTCAATAGCTGGGGTTGTAGTTGAAGTATTGTGGCTTCTTACTTCTAAAAGTGCTGGTCTGTCTTTGGAGTGTCAGGGCCAACAAGTTAATGATGTAGTAATCTGTCTTGGTAATGGGGCTACAGTTGTATGTGGGTAAGGTTAAGCAGAATGATTTCCTATAAAGCTCACTATAAAAGAAGCAAAGCATGTCCAAGGCCCCTCACGCACATTCATTTTCTGTCCGCTCAATATAATGAATTAATTTGGGAAAAATGGCTTTTAGGAGGAAAAATACAATAAAATCATGCAGTAAATATTGGCTCATTAGTTTTCCACTTCTGAGTAATGTCTCACTATACTACTCCAATATAAATAATGATAATTATCCCCTTGAGGAGGAGATAATACATGTAAGGGAACCACTACGTCGGGCTTAACCTTTCAAAACGGAAGTTACAAGTAGATGTTGTCCTGGACCTTTGCAGAAATATGAGTTAATTTCGAGTTTGTTTAATTTCCATAAATTATGTTGTTCCACCCATACAATAATAGATACAGCTAGTGTTGTGTCTATTGCTGTATCTATTCCTCATTATAATTCTGAGCAAGTTCTCTATAAGTACTTTGTGTACAAAATGCCTTATTCCAATATAACTTTTTTTTTTTTTCTTTTCCCACGCAGATCACCCCTGGCAGCAAGGCAGCACAGTCACAGATGAACCAAGGGGACCTTGTGGTAGCTATTGATGGAGTCAACACTGACAGCATGACCCACTTAGAGGCCCAGAACAAGATCAAGTCAGCCAGCCACAACTTGAGCCTCACTCTTCAGAAGTATGTTGATATAAGTTAACGTTTTTGCATTCCTAAGGGATTCCTCTGAAACTCATGTCTAAGGGATATAAGTGTTTTATCTCTGTCTGTTAGATTTATTTGAAGTGCTCATGGCACAGATATGAGATGGAAAGCTAAAATCTGCTCTGATTCTTTAAAATAAGATGGATTCTTATAGAAGCCAGTACGGTTGATTCGTTGAGTGTATCTGTGTTGAATGTAGCCTGAATTGAAGGCAGATGTAATCCCATATCCACTCAAGCTTCTGTTAGAAAATAAATCCAACAGTGATGGTTCTTTTTCTTATTGCCATGTGGACAACACACAGTTTTGTTTGTTTAGTTTGTGAACAACTATTCTAGAAGAAATGACTGTTGTAACAAGTGTTAGATTTGCATGGGAGGAACCTGTCATTCATAGGGTGAATAATCACAGCAGGCTGAGAATTTTTGTTAATGGTCTGGCATGCGTGAGTTAGTTTCAAAGTGGCCTCTCTGCATCTGACAAAATAAGAAAGGTGTAGCCTGAGTGCAGGAAAGGAATTCAGTAGAACATGGAGAGAGCAGATCATAGAGATGTGGTAGAAGTTGTCTTGCCATTGAGAGAACAGAGTCTCTTCAAATAACAGGTCTCTTACTTTTCCTGGTTACTGTTACTTCCAAGGAAAGTTGTTCTCAAGTCAGATAACCTTGCACAGAGGTTTTCCATAATAGTTGCATTAATATTTAAAGCTCCATAATTATATAAGGCAAAATAACTGCTATTTTATTGCATTGTGGAGAAAATAGCCTTTAAATAGGCTAGACAAAGACTGCTATAGAAAGCAGGTCGTAATGTGGAAATGCAATTTTCTGAGAATATACCAGAAAAACTCATACGTGGATGTACAGTAGAGCTAAGCAGTGTCAGGAACAGACTAGCACCTAAGAGAAAGAGATTTTTAGCTGAGCTTTCCAAGACAGAGCAGGCTGCTCTAAAGCAAAATGTATGGCTGAATTTCCCACGTGGCTTTGTAACTCTCAAGTTTGTCTTTAAGTGGGTGTTCCAGATAATTTATGAAATAAATGCACAAAGTAGAAAGATGCTAACAAAATTGCAGCCTAATTGTTAGCTTCTGTGAGAACATTGGGTAAATTTATGTATTTCCTGGAAATGTATAACACATATTTCCTAGAAAAGAGTTTAAATTAAAGATTTCCAGATGTTCCAGATTTTCTCAAAGAAGAAACTTTCAGATTTTTCTCAAAGGGTGTGGCCTAGCTGTTTCAATGAGTGCAAGGGAGGTAGGGAGATGCATGGAATAGTTTCTGTCCCTTGTATGATGTGCATGTGTGTCTCTAGTGTGTTTAGGCAAGACTTTCAGCCAAAACTAAAAAGAGACCAGGAGTGCAATCCTAAATGTACTGAAATGGGTCATATATCAGAATCCAGAAGAAAATGGTCTTCCAAAGTTGTTGAGGGAAGATGGGGCACTACCTTGATGCATGTGGTTGAATTATTATCCTATGGCCCACTCCAGCTTCTTTTTGCTCCATTCTAATGAATGCTAGTGATATTATGAATATATGTATGATATCTTTTTAAAAAATATTTACATTTTTCTGATTTATCTTGTAATTTAAAGTTAAGGAAAATCCTTTCTGATCATTTTTTATATAACTTATGTCCGCTTTTTTATTGGACCATTGTGTTTTTACATTGACACAAAATGTTTCTTATTGTGCTTTGGCTTGTTACACATTTTGAGTTAATTTTCCTGAATATTGGACCTAAAAAGTGGTACACAAGATGCCTCTATGGCCTGGCATTTAAAACTACAAACCATCGCTTCTCCTTCCACACAGAGGAAGGGTTCACAAATCTGTGACTAACAAAACCAGATTATCCTAATACATATCACACATGCGAGTCACTTAAAACAGTAATTTTGATCAAGAGAATCAGGCTGGGATATTTCGTGTGAGTAATTGTTGTGCTTTTATACTTGCTGACCTCTAAATTACAGCAGCAGCAACTGTGGTGGTCACATCATTTAAAAAAACAGAAGTGTTTTACAGCATCCAGGACAGGTTGCTCATTGTTTAATGATTGAAGTAATTGTTAGTTTTTCTTTAAGTATTTTCAGACTACTAAAGCTTTATTCATTGTGGTTTGCATTATTCTTTTTCCACATACTTCTAGTGGAAATATCATTGTTTATTGCTTTCTTGCTCTACCTATTGTTCATTTTATTTTTCTAAGGCTTGCCTTGTTTCTTGGTTCCAAAACAATAGTATGTCATTCAGGTAATCAACTTATGTGGATAATAAATAGCCAAAGTAAGCAATAATGGAGTGTTCCACAGACTGAAATATGCTTGCATAGATAATAATGTAGATGGGTTAAGATACATTTTGAAAAGAAGAAAAAGGGTATAAAATTATATGAAATACATTTCAGCACAAATAGGTCAGGCAGCTTTTTTCTTAGCGAGTGAGAACTTTAAAAGATGATGCTTTTGCTCTAAACTTATACGATTCTTAGAATCTCATCTTCAGTATGACAATTGCTTTTTGATGTGAACTATTAGTTTGCATTGGTGACCCGTTCAGCCTTACTAGAGTTATAGGGGAAAAACAAATGACAAAGACTGAAAAGTAATTTTCTTTTTTATCTGGGTATTGTTTCTTAAATGATTAGGGGGTATTCAAAAAGTTGTGCTCAGAGGCATTAAGCTGGATTTCACTTTGCACAATTCAGTATTTGTACAAGCTAAACCCTATCAGCATGTGATCTCAGCCAGCTGACGTGTGCATAGAACCCTGGTAAAGATCCAGTATCCCAAGTCTTGAACAAAAGTCGTTTCCACAGTATTCAGGAAGTTAGATTAACTTCCTTTTTCCTAGGCACAAATGGGCTAATTTACCTAAGTACAAAAAGATTGTGTTAGTTTAGTTACCTGCCCAAAATTTACAATGAAATAAGCTTTCTTTCAACAAAAATGATTTTACAAAGGTTGTATTGGTGACAAGAATAGTTAACGTGAAAAGTATGGGAGCAGTCTCTAGTGGTAGTAATTTTCAACCAAATAAGAACATACAGGAGAAAGGCAAAATCTCCTGGGACTTGGTTACCAGGAAAATGACTGTGCTAAGAGACCACTTTTACTTTTTTAGACATGGCTTGCAGCAATGAAACTGGAGTGGAGTGTTCTACTACTATGGAAAAACAAAGCTAGTTTCCATAAAGATCATAGAGATGGGTATGCTCAGTTATCTAATTTGCATAAAAGTTTGGAAACATTGTAAATCCTTTCAAATGGAAAGGGAATATATGTGCATTAGGAAATTGACTGTTGTGATGGGAAAACTTAAGCCCTACATTTTGATGATCTTGGACATTGATGAGAGGTAGTCACGTGGCTCTACAGAATATGTTTCAAGGTCATGCAATGCCTTACCAGGCAATCTGTGGCTTGGTTTCGCTGTTGCAGCACTGGAAGTAGAAGTGAACTTGCTTGTTTAGTCTATAAGGCCATGGAAGAAGCAGTGGAACGTGAAATCTAGACATAAATGCTCCGAGACAGAAAGCTTTTTATTTTTCTAATGGCTCTTGACTCTCAAGAGCGATGGCCTTTCCTTTTATTGATCCTGGCCATGAAGGTTTCATGAGCATTGTTTATGACCTGACAGTTCAGACAGTGTTTGCTGCTACTCACTTTTATTATTGCACTTAAGTTCCCTGTGGGGTTTCTCTTTCAGGGTGGGGAACTGGTTATTTTTTATTTGGCTGTCAAGAAAAGCTGTACATGGTGTCACCAGTTGTGCAGGACATCAAATTGCAAGACATCAAATGTAGCAGAAGGGAAGCGTTAAGAATGCCCATTCGTACTTGCCTGCCTAAACAATGAGGGTCTGCACTTCTCTGGCTCTACAAACTTAGTTTTCCTTCAAGAACCATCAATCTGCACTGTTCAAGGTACCCTCACATCGCTCTTCAAGGAGTGCTTAGTGCGCAGTGCTGGCCTGGCTGGAATTCACTATGTTTCAGTCCTGTAGATATCCCATTATGGGTTCAGGAATTTGTGGATGTCAAGTTTTTTTCTGACAGCTTCCTTCCTGAAACTCCCTGTTAATTTTTTTGTTATCACCTCACCAATGTTATGTTTTCACCTGAAACCACAAAATGAGGATGGAAGTCTCACCAGCTATGCCAGAGGTTTGATCAGGCAGCCAGAACTTGTCTTGTTACTGGCTTGAGTGAATCACTGCATTTTCTAGCTGCTCATTTTCAATGTCTTGGCTGCCTCCTTCTCCAGAGCTGCTTTTGGGAAGGTATAGGATGCAAGTGGCAGGTAATTGAAATATTTGGTCCATTCCGGGAAGAAGAGACTTGTGATCCAGGGGTATGGAAAGTGGGGACCCTACAGGCCAGCTCTGCTTCCTTCAGTTTATTCTGAAGTTAATTCTCTTTTGCTGAAGAGAGCAGCAGTGAGGGGAGAAGGAAAGATATTTCTTTGGCACCGTGCACTATTACCCAGCAGAACTCCATGAAGCATGATAGAATTCAGGTAATCAGGGCTGACAGATACTGATATAGATGCAGCTCATTCCTTAGAACATACATTAATCTAGATGTACTGAGGGAGGTTGGTGCTAGTTCTGCTACACAGTGCTATGGAAGGCTACGATCATACTCTACAATGACCTGGGTTGTGGTGGAAAAAGACATTGCTTTGCTTTTAATCTTTTTGTGACCTACTGGAGTTTAGTCCTCAGTCATTTTTCAGTATCAGTTTCTAATGAGTTACTTGAGCTACACAGCTGCACCCAGGCATTTTAATTCTGGGGCAGTCAAAGTTCATCTTTAACTGGCTGGCTGGCTCTGCCACAGAGATTGGACCATAAACTTATTGTCCTACAGTATTCAGTCACAGGTGAAAAACCAAATGCATGCAAAATCTATTTTTATTTCATATGAATGGGTTTCTTTTTTAAATTCACAGTAAATGCAATGCATGA